TGCCGTTTCCTGATGTTTCTCTAAGGTTGCTTAAGAAACAGGCCCAGCGGCCTTTGTTGGTATACATTTAGTGTAGAGAATCTATCGGGGGTGCCCGCCTTCTATGCAGCCATGCCGATGACTGAATTTCCCTGTGTTGATACATATACATACAGTTTACAAGAGCTTCAAAAGCTGACCAGACCCCTTTTTCCCTTTGTGAATTTCCTTCCTCACGCCCGGATCCTCCCAGAATCGGCATTTTACGCAATGGGCTTCATACCCTTGTGAATGGCAGCAACACCGCCAGTCAAGTTCTCATAACCCTCACCCGAGACAACGAAACCAGCATCCTTGATCATATCCCTGAACTCCGTCTGGCTGGGGAACCGTTCGATACTCTCGACGAGGTACTGGTAGCTATCCCTGTCACCAGCAACAAGCTGGCCAATGAGGGGGATACCGCTAAAGGACCACCGCTTGTAGATGGCGTTGAAAAGCGGGTAGTCGTCTGCCTTGCTGAACTCGAGGCAGGCGAAGACACCGCCAGGCTTGAGCACGCGGTGGGCCTCGCGCAGGGCGGCGGGGATGTTTGTAAAGTTGCGGATGCCGAAGGCGACGGTGTAGAGGTCGATGGAGTTGTCCTTGATGGCGCCCTCGGGGAGCTTCTCGGCATTGGCCTCGAGCCAGGACATGGCGGCCTGCTGGGAGGCCGGGAGGGATCGGGAACGGTCGCGGCCGACGGCGAGCATGGAGGGGTTGATGTCGGAGATTGTGACGCGGACGTCGGGGTTGTGGTTGATGTTGTGCGCCGTGTGGAGCATGCGGAAGGCAATGTCACCTGTGCCGCCGGCGATGTCGAGGATGTGTTGGGGGGTGGGTGGGTTGGAGGCTGAGAGGCCCGGCTGGAGGCCGGAGACGAAGTGGTCCCTGGGAGGAGCGTTAGTGGTGATGGCATGACAGATGTTGAGAGAAACTCAACGTACTTCCATATTCTGTGCCAGCCAAAGGACATGAGATCATTCATGCGGTCATAAGAGTCGGCGACGCTGTGGAAGACGCCGGCGACGCGGTCGGCCTTCTCAGACTCGGGGACAGTCTTGAAGCCAAAGTGCGTTGTCTTGCCATCGGCGGAAGGGTCGGTTGAGGTGTTGATGGATCGGGAGGCGATTGCGAAAGGGCGGGAGATAGGGGAAGGAGATGTGCTGAGCTGCTTCGAAAGGGATCGCGCGCTCCAGGAGGAGCGGAGGGCGCGTCGGGTCGCCATTGCTATGGAATGGCTCGTTCTTGTCGTGGGAGCGTGGAGAGACCTGGGGGCGGCGCGCAATGAAGTCAGTCGATCGGTGCTTGGAGAGCTTCCAGGATGGAATAAATTTTGGTGGAGAATTTGGGGATTGGGTGTGGCTAGTGCGCGCTATATCGATGACATTGAGGAGTCAAGCCACATCTTGAAGACCAGGGCCCGCGAATAATGATATCCAGATGGGAGTGTGATTTTCTTTGCCGGATGAAATGAAGAAATAACTTACCTAGACGGTGGCCTCGTTGGAGGTGGCTTCTGTATTGGCTGTGGTCGAAGCCTCCTTACGTGCCGCTCGGTGATCGGCCAAAGCCTTGACGAAGGTGTGAACCTGGTCCTTTGCGAGCCAGATGATAGTGCAGATGAGAGCAATGACCAGGATGACCAACAAAGCGATGGAACCAGCGGGAGTCATGTTGAGGCTCCTCGATCAACTTCTTGATGGAAAGTGTATCCGAGGCTCAGTAAATCTGGGACGAAAAAAAAAGCTGATGGCGATGAAGTCGGATATTAAGTTCTCAATGGAGGCTGTTGATTGCGTATTGTGACGAGTAGTAAGTGGCGGAGGTGTGTGAAGTGAAAGAGGTTTTTGTGGTGAGTGTGCGTGGGAGGGAGAAAATGAAGGTACGCTCCTTCCGAAGTAATTGTATTGGGAGCGTGAAAATAAACAAAAGTGTGCACTCTTTGTTTCTCCTGTGTGATTTCCTGAGCTGCCTGTGAAGGCATCCAAGTCAGGACAGACTTACACACAGCAAACTGGAGCTCTACACCGAGATTCACCGGTCACCAAACCGCATCCCTGGAAAATCACCAGTAACGGCAAGTGGGGCGATCTATCGATAAGAATCTCCAACTTCCACCCACAGCTGAGTGACACAGTTCCACGCACTGTTCCTTTTACTGTCTCCCGAAGTCCACCTACCCTAGACTCGGACACCCCCGAGACAGAGAACTATACACTCTGGTACGCTACAGAGCCAGCAGCAACACGGACAAATCCTCAATCCACAAATGATGGATCCAACGTGGGAATCGCGATTTCCACCGACGGTATCCAAGGCATGTAGCCGTTGCCATGCAAGGAAAGTCAAGGTAAGTAGTCACCCTTCTAATAAGGAGGAGTCTAGGTTATTGACATGTTCAAGTGTGATTTACAGGTTCCACGATGCTCAACTTGCCACAAGCAAAATGAGCAGTGCAATATTACTGACCGTGTGACTTACACGTACGCTGCTGTCAAAAGCCTTCAAGACCGAATCATTGAGCTTCAGGCCAGACTCGACGGTGTTTCTGAAGCCACAGCAAGCCAGACTGGTCCGATAGCTGGACCTGGCCAGTTCGATGATGTTCGCAAAGAGGCCGAGGAGATTGGTGTTCTTGCAATTGGGAGGCCGAGCGGCTACTCAGAGAGAATATACAGTAAGTATGGCTCCTCAAGGCCATGAGCTGGTGTTTCAATGCAAAAAATGTTGATCTATGTTTCTTCCCTTAGTGGGCAGTGCCACTGGCTCGACCTTTGCTCGCATTTTCTTCAAGCAGATTAACCTGTCGGGATCGTCATCAGGCTCGCACTATGGTCGCCAAGAATCTTCCAGTCACGATCACGAACTCGTCCGAAACAACGCTGCACTCCCGCCGCAGCCAGTCGCAAGATTTCTCCTGACAACATACATTAGTCGCATACATCCATGGTGGCCGTTCATATCTCTTCCCTTCTTGAGGTGTAGTCTTGCAAGAATCTATGAGGATCCAGCCAGATGCACATTGTATCAAAAGTTTCTGATTCTCATGGTGCTAGCCCTCGCTTCAGCAACTTGCACAGAAGCCCAGGAGTACCGACGGATGATGGACTTGAACAGCCCAACAGACTACTTCCAGACAGGCCTACAATTCTTTTTGAACATACACGATCACCCGAGAGATCTGCAAGGCCTTCACTCCGTGCTCTTGCTGTGCTTATGGATGTTAGGATCAAACGTTAGAAATCACGGCGATGACGTTTGGCAGATGAGTCGATATACCATGTCGACAGCCATAGAGATGGGCCTTCACCGACGTTCCGTCACACCGGGCGACCTAAGTTCTGATGACCGGGAGATCCGGAACCGGACGTGGTGGTGTGTCTATGCACTGGAAAGACAGGTAGCGGTCATAACAGGCAGGGTACTCTCGGTCAGAGAGCATGCTATAGATGCACCCAAGCCATCCGCCAGTACTCTCGACGAGCTCACAGATCAAGAGGGTCGTGCGGCGCCATCGTTCCAGAAACTCAATGTGAAGCTTTTCAATCATCTGATGAAACTACGTCAGATCGGTGGGCGTGTCCTTGAATCCATCTACATCGCCAGAGGCCCTGATGGGCGAGCATCAAGAACCACATTTCAGGAAATATGCAACGAAGTTGAGAAAATCCAGCAAGAATTAGAGAGCTGGAAACGAGACTTGGAAGCCCTAGACTTCAAAGGAACGCGCGAGTACTCCGAGATGAAGATTGAATATGGACTTCTCCTGCTACTCATGTATCGACCATCTCCCACTTTTATGATTCCTTCCAAAGAAATGGCTGAGATATGCTCTCGGGCCGTGTCTGGAACTGTTCAGCAGTGGCAGAAGCTGGACTTTCAGTATGGAATCACTGCCGTTTGCCGCTGCATACGGCAAGTGCATTCGATCCTCATGGTAGGGCTGGCAGGCTTGTATTGTGACTGGTAAGCTTCTTATCTCACCAGACCCAATTGGCATTCCTTTCAAGATTACGAACTGACCATTAGCTGCTAGGCACGTGAAAGCGATGAATCAAAGTCCAGAATCCCCTCTTCTCTACTCCCATGGAAGCAATGTGGCATTATGCATGGATCTCATCGAACGCGGAACTGCCCGGATGAAAGAAGAAGGCCTGCTGAAGTATCGCGATCTTCTCCAGGCAGCAAGAATCAAAGTATATGGCCCAACGACGTGGGAGCCGCCAATTACTCAAACCGAACCTACAGATGCCTCGCCAGTAGCTCCTGTGAACGCGTCAAGTGCACTTGGCTTTCTTGGTGCAGACAACACGCAGTCCAATATGTTCTTCCAAGGCGATGAATTGGAAACGTACATGAACCAAGTCACGGGGTATTTCGACAACGCTCAACTGGGTTTAGATGAGGGTCTCACTGCTTGGTTTGATACTTTCATGGACGAGTTCCAGTCCAACAGAATAGGGAACTTGGGTTAATTGATGCATCGTCACAATGATTCCTGGCAACACCAAGCCTTCCCTGCGACAGCCATTTGTGTAAGTCGAGTGACCGGTGGCTATCGACACTTGCTAAGCTAACGCCATCGCACAGCCTCAGTCAATCAATCGAGCGTCTGATGTAAAACTAGAGCTCAACACCGGATCATTGTTATCGATTTGACGCCTCATTTCCATTGCATTGGTTGAAGCTAATACTCAAAGACCGAGGTGATCTCGGACTGGACCGACGATAAGTGGAGACTGGCTTGCGCAATGCCACCATAGTTTCGGCCCTGGCCGAGCTCAGTGCCGGTCAAGACTACCTACTCATTGGGATAAGCACTGGGGCATCTTTTGATCATTTTCTTGGCTGATGTCCCTGCAGAACAAAAATCGGGGTTCTTGGTTCTGTAGAAGCGTGGTATTTATTCGAGGCTTGACTTCTAACCAGATGTTCTACGACTTATACGGAATCATAGCGCACAGAGCATCGCCAGCATCATGTCCGAATCTCAGCCAAAGCCTCAACCGGCCACAAGCCACACGGCTGTCCTGAACTCCAGAAATGCTTCTATATTGGTAAGAAATGCATTCGTCTTGATATTCCTCATCAAATCACGATACTGACTCTCAATACAAGGTCGGCATACGCGACGGCGTCACCGGCGAATTCCGTCTAGTCCCCAGAGAGCAAGCAACAGTCTCGGTCTTTGACTCCAACTTTCTCATAGGCGATGGAATCTGGGTAAGTAAGGGGCCAAGCCGGCATAGAAAAGTCCAAAGGCTGATCTGATGCTTCTCATTGTAGGAAGGCATTCGTGCTGTAAGAGGCCGAGTCCAATTCGCCAAGGAGCACATTAATCGGCTCTTCCAGTCTGCAAAGGCAATGTACATGGACTTGGGCCTGACAAAAGGAGACCTCCTGTCACTTCTTCACCAGACCTTGGACGCAAACGACATGGGAAACGAGCCTCACGTCCACATTCGTCTGGTCGTCAGCAGAGGCCTAAAGTCAACACCCTACCAGAACCCGCACGTCAACATCGGCCTGCCGCTCATCGTCGTCATCCCCGAGATCAAGGCCGTAGATCCGACAGCCAAGTCGCGCGGCCTACGCCTGGGAACGACCTGGGTTCGGCGCGGCCCGCCCGACGTCAAGGACGAGCAGTGGAACCACATCTCCAAGGCGACGGACGTGCAGGCGTGCGTGCATGCCAACTTTATGGGCGTCGACGAAGCGCTCATGCTGGACCTCAACGGCTTCGTCAAGACGTGCAACTCGGTAAATTTCTTCATCGTCCGCGGCGACGAGGTGTGGGCGCCGACAAAGGATAATCAGATGATGGGCATCACGCGGCAAAAGACTATTGATGTCTGTCGGGCAGCGGGCATCACGGTGCGGGAGCTCGATTTTGCGCTGACGGAGGTGTACGGGGCCGACGAGGCTTTCTGTACGGGGACGTTCCCGTCGCAGATTCATGTTACGGAGGTTGATGGGCGGGTGATTGGAGACGGGAAGAGGGGGGCTTTGACGGACGTGATTCAAAAGCTGTATGCGGCTGAGGTAGAGCGGGATACTGCGAGGTCGAGGGAAGTGATTCTGGCCGAACTTGAGCAGACTCGGGATCTGAGTGTTCTTGATAAACTAAAGTCAAAGCTTTGAGTCTTCGCGGAGTCTTTTTTATAATCATTTCGAGAGTCTCACAAATACCAATTGATTTACCAATGAGCACCCTATGTTCTGGAATGACCAAATGCACACTGGAATACACTTTAATTTGCCAAAGAAACCTGATCCAATATCTAGGTGTCTGAATTCAGGCAGGTTTCCTTCAAATTGGAAGCAGGCACAACCAACGTTTCGGTTCGAGGAATGAGCATCATCTGCCTTGGATGACATCTAACCTGAGCCCGCGTAGTCTTCGGCATTTTGCTCGGAAACTTTCTATTTGATAACAAGATAATGATCAAAAAAGGCTCTTCATCACTAGTCTTCCCTTGTCATATATTGGCACAAATGCCACACCATTATTAGCTGACACGGCGTTTACTGCGGTATGGCTTGAACGCTGATCTCAACAGTGTGAGGACCGGCGGAGCACGAGTCAGCACAACACCTCGGACTGCACCGATATCTCGACATCAATGATCTCGGTGGGGACCGAACAGAAGCTCCACACTCTCATTGCGTGATACCCCAGAATGATAACGTCAATCGCAGGTTCTATTCTGCCCCGTCCCCATATCGAACAACGATATTGGTGTTATCCGGCAGATATCTCATTGATATCGAAAAGTCAGGGACATGGGATGTGGAGTTGAGCCATTGAAATACCTGCGGTTCCGCCGCCGACTCAGGGAAGCATGCTTGGTCTTGAGGCCTTGATCTCGGACTTGGACTTCTTCTTTCTTGGTTTATTGAGAAGAAGAGAGCTAGCTCTTGAATGAGTCTGACTGAATTATCTCATTGATTGAGAGTTTGCCTACAAGCACATAAGCTCCGACTTACACGGTTCCGTACTTACCCACCTACCTTGCCAAGTAGTTTCCATCACGCTTCCATTTCCCATGATGGAACCCAAATCAGCCATCGTCGACCACGACGCAACCGAGCAGACGGATGTCAAAGACGTACAAGATGGAACCTCCCAGTATGACGAGACCCTGGCGCCGACGCCCGCGCAAAACAGGCGCATCCTGTTGAAGACGGACCTCGTCGTCCTCCCCTGCGCCGTAATCAGCATGACCCTCGCGTTCCTTGACAAGGCAAGCCTCCCGAAAACCCTCTCCTCTCCTTTCTCCTCCCGTGAACTATCATTAACTAACCATGTCACCGAGATATAGAACGCCCTAGGCTTCGCCGCAATCTTTGGCCTTCGGCAAGACGCGAACCTCAAGGGGCAGGAATACTCCTGGCTCGGCTCCGTCTTCTACTTTGGTTACCTGGCCATGGAACTCCCGGCCCTCTATCTCATCACCAAGCTCCCCATCGGTAAGTTCATCGGCGCCTGCCTCGTCCTCTGGGGCGCCTGCATCTGCCTCATGTCCGCCTGCCACAACTTCGCCGGCCTCGCCGCCATCCGCGTCCTGCTCGGCATCTTCGAGGCCGCCTTGTTGCCATGCATGCTCGTCCTCAACGCCACGTGGTACCGCCGCGAAGAGCAGCCCCTGCGGACGGCACTGTGGCATAATACTTTCGCCGGCGTGTTTGGCGGTATCCTCTCATACGCCATCGGAAATATCAAGGGGAGCCTGTCGACGTGGAAGTACATCTTCATCATCTACGGCGCCGTCACCGTCCTCGTCGGCTTCGTGGTTCTCTTCGCGCTGCCCGATTCCCCGCAAAAGGCATGGTTCTTTGACGAGCGGGAGAAGAAACAGGTCGTCGCCCGCCTCGCCGAGAACCAGACGGGCGTCGACGTCAAGAAGAAATTCGACGCGCAGCAGATCCTCGAGGCCGTCAAGGACCCGAAGTGTTGGTGCGTCTGGGCCTGCGCCATCGGCTACGCCGTCGCCAACGCGGGCATCACAAACTTCAACCCGCTCATCATCTCGGGCTACGGCTTCAGCCAGACCAAGACCGTGCTCATGGCCACGCCGCAGGCCGCGGTCGCCATGGTCGCCGGCGTCGTCCTCACCACGATATCCATGTTCGTGCAGAACCTGCGCTGCCTGTTCTGGATAGTCTCCGCGCTCGTCGGGCTCGTCGGGGCGGTGATGGTGCACACGCTCGACATCAACCTGAACAGAAACGCCAGCCTGGCGTGCGTGTACATCATGGGCTTCTACAACGTCCCGTGGGTCTTTATGCTGAGCCTCAACTCGTCCAACACGGCGGGTGCTACGAAAAAGAGCTTCATGGGCGTCACGGTGGCCGTGTGCTACGCCGTCGGCAACATTGTCGGACCCCAGCTGTTCCTGTCGAGCCAGGCGCCGCGGTACCCGCTCGGCATCAGCGCCATGATGTTTGCTTTTGCGCTCATGGCCGCGTCCGGGCTCGTGTACTACCTGCTCTGCGTGGCGGAGAACAAGCGGCGCAATTCCAAGTTTGGGATGCCCGAGGATAGATTGCAGGCTGGTCTCGAGCAGGAGAGGGAGGATAAGACGGATGGGGAGAATAAGGACTTCCGGTATACCTACTAGTACTACGATCTTCTGTCGTGAAGCGAGAAGTAGTTATTGCCCTGGACGAGGGCCAATTCAACGTTCAATCCATTTTGATGAAGCTTCCGTGCAATCGCAGTTTGGCAACCAGGCACATGCTGTGCAGTGAATTGATTCAGGAGATGATGCTCCAGAAGAAAAATCAAACCGAGCTATAGTGTTAAACAGGTTGATCCTTTGGATGAGTTCTCCGCGACTCAAATTGTCCTCGTGATTGTTTCTAAAGTTGAATTGATGAGGTTAGAATCGGCTTAGAGACCCGGCGTTAGTTAGCTCTTTCCAACTCAAGAGGGAACCCGCACTTCAAGAACGAGACTTACTTGGTCAAGGCTCTTGGGAAGTGTTGTCGCATTAGATAACCATGACTTGGTATTTCGGATTAGCGCGGAGTAACTAAAACCCTCAATACACTTATACGAAGGAGCTGTATTGTATAAATCAGCCATCGATAACTTTCTCGCCAAACATCGGTTAGCACAGGCAAACCACCGTCCATAAACATGGATTCGTCTACTACTGACTTTAACTACATTGTTAGACAAAGTCAACGTAGAGACCGTAATTTACAGCCAAGATAAGGGAGACAAAAAAAAACTCACCGGTAATACCCCAATATCAAATCGGTCCATAAATTCATGCGGTATTAAACCGTCGCGAGAGAAATGATAGTCACAGGTTGGCTTCTGATTCGGTTACGGGGGAACAACACAGTCCCTAGACGCCAGCACGGAGCAAACCATAACCTTGTCGATGGGCTGGCTGCTCGGTCATGGTCCCAAGACACAAGCACCCCTGTCCAAGGTTCGGTTTCTCTTATCGATAGGAATATACGCGGGGCGCGGGGAAAGGATGGAAAGCTCAGTAACGGCTTTCAGGGGGGTTTGGGGGAAGTCACGACTCACCACTGCTAACTTGCCTTATCGGTACCGGCTTACATCGGCTCAGCCATGACGTCGCAACTTCGGCCGACGATAGACGGTCTTCCTCGGGATAGCTGCTGTCTCGGCATTCTCCCTCAGTCCCTTTGGCACTCTGGCCCTCTCAACTCCTTTCCCTTTCGTCTCTGAAATTCTCGTGTAATTAAGCAAGGCTTTGTGATCATCTCCTTTCAATCAATTGACTTTCTTTAAAGAAAAGATCAAAGAAGGAAAAGAAGCAGAGATGAGGACCTCCAAGATACTTCGACGGGCACCCCTCGGCGGGCTGGCCCTCCCCCGAGCCGGAAGCGGTCTTCCAAAGACGACATCAACACCGACAGCAGGAGCAGCGGCGGCAGCAGCAACATCTCAAACCAGACGAGCAGCAAGTAGCCTTTCCCAAAGGCCAAATGCGAATCACGTCTCCTTCCCCGGCGCCGTAAAGAGCGCCTTCACGAGCAGCCTCAAGTTCGAGACGCCGGGTGACTACCCCGCCGTGCCGACCTACCGCGTCGTGGACCAAAACGGCGCCATTGTTGACGACGCCTTCGTCCCGGACCTCGACGAGGCGCAGATCGTCAAGCTCTACAAGGACATGGTCTTCATCTCCGTCATGGACCTGATCATGTTCGACGCCCAGCGCCAGGGCAGGCTGAGCTTCTATATGGTCTCGGCGGGCGAAGAGGCGCTGAGCGTCGGCTCCGCGAGTGTGCTGACGCCCGAGGATGTCATCTTCTGCCAGTACCGCGAGCAGGGAGTATTCAAGCAGCGGGGCTTCACAACGGCGGATTTCATGAACCAGCTCTTTGCCAATTCGAAAGATCCCGGTAGGGGGAGGAACATGCCGGTGCACTATGGTAGCAAGGAGCTGAATATTGTAGGTTCCCATGACCGAGACGGCACCTCTGGAGGGCATTGGAGGGTGCATAGGCTAACACGTTGCTCGTACAGCATACTATCTCGTCGCCGTTGGCAACGCAGCTTCCGCAAGCTTCAGGAGCAGCATACGCTTTGAAGATGCAGCGGATGCAAGATCAGTCGATACCCCCGAGAGTCGTTGCAGCCTACTTTGGCGAGGGTGCGGCGAGTGAGGGAGACTTTCATGCCGCCCTCAACATCGCGGCTACAAGGTCATGTCCTGTAATCTTCATCTGCCGAAACAACGGCTATGCTATCTCCACGCCGACATTAGAACAGTACAGAGGTGACGGAATCGCCAGCCGTGGCCTGGGGTACGGCATCGACACCATCAGAGTAGATGGTAACGATATCTGGGCTGTCAGAGAGGCTACGAAGAGGGCCCGTGAAATGGCGCTCGAGAATGGGGGCCGCCCCGTCTTGATCGAGGCCATGACTTACAGGGTGAGCCACCACAGCACGTCGGATGACTCGTTTGCCTACCGTGCTAGAGTCGAGGTTGAGGACTGGAAGAGGCGGGACAACCCCATTACGCGTCTGCGCAAGTACATGGAGGCCAAAGGCATGTGGGATGAGGCCAAGGAAAAGGAGTGCAGAGACTCGACTAGAAGGGAGGTGCTGAAGGCGTTCAAAGAGGCCGAGATGGAGAAGAAGCCGCCAATCCGAGGCATGTTCGAAGACGTTTATGAGGAACTGACGCCGGATCTGAAGCAGCAAATGGCACAGCTACGTGAGCACCTAGACAAGTACCCGGATGAGTACGAGTTTGGTGAATTCGAGGGAGGCAAGGATAGCTTGAAGGCATAGACGAGCGGGTCCTGCATGATACCTACTTGGCTAGAGAAGAAGTGATTAATGCGGAATCTCCAGCGCTGTGGATGCGAGAAAAGCCTATATTGCATGTTATCGAAATTCCGTGAGGTGTTTTTGTTGACTCGTTTGACTCGGCTGCTTAGAAATTGGAGTATTGGTCGACCCTGATGGCGCAAGAAAAGGTAGGAATGCCGTCTCCCCACCCAACCTTGAATCAGCTCCGTCAGAATCTGGAGCGCACTGGGCAAGGTGTGGATGCGTAAACGGAAACATGGCTCCGTAATGACAAGCGGCTTTAATGCGATGGGAAACTGTTTTGGCTGTAAGTACCTTAGTGCAAGGTCAGCACCTGAGAGACTGGGGATAGACAGCGATGGTAGGGCGGGGTCGAGCTGCCAAACGTTGTCCCAGCACGGTCAGACACTACTACAGTGACGCTGTACGGACTGAGCATTTGAAGACAACACCTAGTAGGCTGGGATGGAATAGGGAGGCTTGTGACGGGTGACGGACGACGGCACGTCCATGGTTGGCGTTGGCGTTGGCGCGGTTCGAGGTTGGGACGGAGCCAGACGGTAGACGTGACAGGAGAGGGACCGTTCCATGAGGTAAGGTATCGAGAATGGGGAACGCAATACCTACGTCTGTATCCGCAGCATCATAAGCATGGGCCTTACCGCAGGGATTCCCCCCTCGTGGCTGCTCATGTTGAGTTGGCGGGCCCAATACTCCGTATCCCCCAGTGGCTACGTTTGGAGCAAAAAGTGGACTGGAACAGCGATATCAGAGCCGCTTGGAGCATGTGTGTGTTGTGCGTGGTGGTGGTGGTGCGTGTGGCGTGCGGCGTGCGGCGTGGTGCTTGTTAAACTGTTAGCAGCAACGGGTGGTGTGTCTGTCCCGTTCGCCGGCCACGGCCCAGGGCATCCATCAGTCAGACCCGACACCTTCTTCCTCTCCCGTGCTGCTTTGGCGCTGCATAACCTCGTCTGGTTCCAAACCCCATCCATACATCTCCCCAACCTTCAACATCGCCATCGAATCTGTTCTCCTGCGACGACAACGACGACGACGATAACGATACGACGATAAGCGATTCAAAGGATAGATCAGGCCATCAATATCGATGACTTTCAACGCAACGAGATCGTCTTGTCTGATCCGTTGATTCGGACCAACCTCGCAACGCCATCGTATCTTTTGGCAATTCCCCGACGGCGCTGATAACATCAAGACACCACAACGCCTAATCGCCAGCAACCCTCGAGCTGTCCTGCCTCATGGCGTAATCCATGGCAGAACGAATCGCCTCTGCAAACCAGCGCTCCAGATCGGTAGTCGACCACGATCCCCCCGCGCGCCTCCCGTCTACGCCGACGACATCGTCTTCCGGTTCGGGCTCGCCCACCCTAGCTTCGACCTCGTCTTCCCAGCGGTAGGTGGTTGTCATTTCACCCGTATTTGTCGTGTTTCGTTTCGAACCCCAATACATTGTTTTATGCTCTGCGGAGACAAAAGAGAGAGTCGAAAGAAGCAGAGCGTGCGTGTGTGTGGTTCGTGTGTATGAGAGCGAGACACAGAGACTCGAGAGTGAAGAGGAACGAGAACAAGAGGAAGAAGAGGACATACAAGAGAAGAGAAAGCAGCAAGAATCAACGTCGGGTGACAGGTACGCAGAATATTCCTGTGAGAGAGAGCAAGAGAAGGAGCAGAGGCAGGAGCAGCAGGAACAACGTCCAGGTACCGTGGGGTAGTTGCCGGCGACAGCCAACCTGTCTCGTGCCTGCCTGCCTGCCGCCTTCTCTCGGTCTGGTCTACCTACCTCTGCCTCGCTGCTGCTTCTTTCACCTTCATCTCCTTCGCTTGTCTCTCTTGATCCTCGAAGTCCAAAAAAGGCACGAAAAAGGGCACTTTTTCGACTTCAGGATCCGCCTCACCTTCGTTCTCCTCTTCCTCTGCCTGAAGCTACCTCACCTTTGGTACCCGAACGGCGGGATCTCGAACTTAAGCGGGTCTGGTCACTATACCTACCGCCCTACCTCACTACACCGCAACCGCACCATACACACCCTGCCAGGCACCACCGCACCGTACCTCTAGAGCACCTCAGAAAAAAAAAAGACATAGAGAGACGCCTGCTTTCCAACCATTGAAACACGGCTGCATCGCACCGCTCCTTCATCCTCTCTTCATCGAGTCTTGATTATCATCTCCTCGACACTTCTTCTTCCTCGACCCGATACCTTTTTTCTCCTTCACTTCCTTACTCTCGTCCCTCTCGCTTGGTCAGCTTTGAGCCAGTGCTAGCAGACCCCTCCCTCCACCACCCCAGCAATTCATTGCATGCTCTACCTCTCTCGTTGTGTCTAGTACACTGTACATCCACATCCACTACACCGTCACACACCACACACCACACACCACACACACATCTGACGTTCGTTGCGGACACACACGAGGCCACCGACATCTTGGCCTCGGCACATTTGACTTGATCCTTACCTTCGTTTTCTCGCCTTCCGTTCTTCGGTCGGCATGCCTCCTAAGAACCAGTCACTCATGTCTCCCAGAATTACCAGATCTTCTGCCCGGCAAGCGGCGAGTCTCGCGGCTTCATCGACACAACCCGCTGCAAGCGCCGATCCCGCAGCGGCCGCCCCTGCACCACCGAGCTCCAGTCCTCCAAACCCTCCCACCTCAGCCTCGCGGAAACGAAAGGCTTCAACACAAGCTACCAGCCCTACTCCTGGACCACAGCAGTCTGCATCAGCTTCCTCCAGGCGATCAAAGCGTCAAAAGGTAGCCGAAGCTGTTCCACCGCCTCAGCTCCCTACTCAACCGACTGTCCCGCCTCGCTCCAAGAGAAAGGGCAAATCTACCGTCGCCATGTCGAGCCCAGAGTAAGGAATCCCATGAGCCGGAGCTGTACATTCTTCAAAGCTGACTGTGCTTGTTAGCATTTCCGCCGATCCTGCGAACGCATCAGAGAACACCGCACCCTCGGCATCTTCAAGCCGCAAATCCAGTAGCAGCCGAAGCAAGAGGACTGCCACCGGCACCCTAGGTAACCCCCAGTTGCCTCTAGTTTGACGCTCTGAAGCATGATACTGATTCGGCATAAGCAGATCCTTCCGCCAACACATCCAGCTCCTCCCGCAAGACGAAACGGAATGCCGCAAACAATGCGGATCCCGACACCGCAATGACGGGCACAGATGATACTGAAAAGGAGTCTCTTCCTCTCCCGCCCCCGCCGCCTCCTCCCGAACATCAAGACGACGATGATAGTGACGAAAACGATGACGACGACGAGGGTCAGCGATACGATGACGACGTAGACGATGATCCCTTTGGGGGATTCGGAGGTCCTGGAGGTCCCGGTGGCTTGTCAAGTACCTTGCGGGCCTTGACAGGCATGATGACGGGTATTTCGTCCCGCCTGCGAGATCTTCTCAACAGCCTGCGTCAAAAAGATGACCCATCAGTGCAGCTGATCGCCCTGCAAGAGCTGTCTGAAATCTTGTTGGTTTCCAACGAGGATAACTTGTCAGGTCACTTTTCACCTGATGCCTTCGTCAAGGAATTGGTGACTCTGATGCAACCCAACGAGATTACGGGCGAAGAGAATCCCGAACTCATGCTGCTCGCCTGCCGTTGCCTGGCAAATCTGATGGAGGCATTGCCCGCCAGTGTGGCCAACGTTGTTTACGGAGGGGCTGTCCCTGTGCTCTGCCAAAAGCTGCTCGAGATTTCCTTCATCGACCTTGCCGAGCAAGCCCTGAGCACCCTCGAAAAGATCTCTGCAGAGTATCCGTCCAGCATTGTCCGAGAAGGTGGCTTGACCGCCTGCTTATCTTACTTGGATTTCTTCGCAACAAGCACACAAAGAACAGCCGTCACTACCGCTGCAAATTGCTGTCGAAACATTCCTGAGGATTCCTTCCCGGTCATTCGAGATGTCATGCCCACACTTCTCAATGTCTTGGGCAGTAGCGACCAGCGAGTGGTCGAAAAGGCTTCGATCTGTGTCTCTGGCATTGTGGAGAGCTTCAAGTATCAGTCTGCAAAGCTGGAAGAACTCGTCAGTGTCGACCTGTTGAAGGCTGTGTTGAGGCTGCTTGTGCCTGGCACCACTAATCTCATTGGCGCCGATATCCACACGCAATTCCTGCGAGTGCTGGCCTTTACGGCTCGTGCTAGCCCCCAACTTTCGGCGGACTTGTTCAAGCTCAACATCGTGGAGACACTGTATCAAATCCTTACCGGTGTTTCTCCGCCCAGCGGTACAGAAGACGTCGCCTCCAAGTTGGACAGCGTTGTCATCATGCAGGCCTTGATCCATCGACCAAAGGAGCAGATTATCGAGACGCTCAATGTCATTTGCGAGCTGCTACCTAGCCTGCCTCGCAACGCTGACCCTTCATATGGCGACTTTGTGGAGATGAACGCGACAGAACCCATCACTCCTTCCTCCACGGCAGCTGGGAAGACGCGCAAGTCACCAAACGATAAGAGAATCGAACTGCTCGACAGCTGCAAGTCCGAAGTTCGCCGCTTTGCTCTTATTCTTTTCCCGACCTTGACCGACGCTTTTTCGAGCACGGTCAACCTCAACGTTCGTCAAAAGGTGCTCACAGCCCAGCTAAAGATGCTTTCAAACCTCGACGAGAAGATTCTTAGCGAAGCGCTGAAGACAGTGTCTTATGCTTCCTTCCTGGCTTCGATCCTGTCTCAACAGGACCATCCCTCACTGGTTATGCTGGCACTCCAAGCCACAGAACTCCTTCTCAGTCGCTTGGAAGATGTTTACCGGTATCAGCTCTACCGTGAAGGTGTGATTTCGGAAATCACCAAATTGGCCATCGAGGAGCACACGCCGCCCCCAGCGCCAGAGCCGGCCGACTCACAGGAGTCCCACAACACAGAGCAGCAGGCCGCAGCAGATTCTGGTGATCAATCTTCAGACAATGAAGAGTCTGAAGACGATGAAGAACACGAAGAGTCGGACGACGAGGAAAATGAAGAGGACAATGAGAACGAGCCTCATCCAGACGACATTTCTGGGTCGCCGGTTAGCTCACGCGGCTCAACAATGTCGCTCGACGGGCCGCCTCAACACTTTCTGTCAGACGTTCCATCGATGCGAAGCAGGATTCGCGAGGTGGCTAAGAAGTTCTTGGAGAGTCACGAGACCGAGAAGCACGGCAAGGCCATGAAGAAGAAGGCGACTGGGATTCTCACCAATCTATCAGATCTTGCTGGAGAGATTGAAGCCTTCTACCTCAACAGGTCGGCAGGTAATCTTTCGCCTGAAAACGGCATAGAGTTGTTCAAGAAGCTGGCCTCGTCCTTCGACGCCGACGTCCTCGAAAGTGTCACCAGCGCAGAGCTTCTGGCTTCTGGACTCGTAAGAGTGCTTTTGGAAGTTTTCAGCAATCCCGATGAGGATTTAGCCCGCACTGCCCAGGCGGACTTCTTGCAGGTCTTCATGGGCTACAGCGTCAAGTCCAAGCCCAAGACCGCCACTGCCGATTCACCTGCAACTCCCTTCAGTGTCATGGTTCACAAACTTCAAGATTTGCTTAGTAGATCTGAGCATTTCGAGGTCATCACTGTCCACCAAAATACCTTTGATGGCAATCGCAGTAGTGCTGCGTCCATGCTCGCGAAGCAGATTCGGCTCAGGCTTGTGGCTGATGACGAGTCTATACCCAAGTCCTATAGAAACATAATGGTTTCAATTCACGCCATCGCGACTTTCAAGTCTCTCGATGACTACCTGAGACCCAGAATCAGTCTTTCGGAACGGCCACGTGGCTCCTCAAGGCGGGCCGACAACCTCTCGAGGGCCCTCGCGTCGTTGGCAGGCTCTGCTGGTTTGCCACTCAGTCATGCGGCAGCTAGACTTACGGAGCGCGCATCGGCAGCGTCTGGGTCAAGTCCGATCCCACCACCGCCCAGCGTGCCTACGCCCAGCGGCTCGCGTTCTCTCCGCAAGACGAAGTCGAAGTCAACACCTCAGTCGGAGAGTGCGGCCACTCCCGATACTTCTTCCAGCACCAGAGACAAGGGCGTTTTGAGGAGATCTACCCGTCGTAGCGCGGCGTCGGCTGCAGATAGCCCAGCGCCGTCCAGACCACCTCCTGAAGAAGACGACCTGGAGAATGCCCTCGAGTGTGCAGACGAGAAGCATCTGTCCGACGACGAAGAGATTGGCGGAAGCAGTGCATTGGATGCTATTGTAGGTGACTTGGATGAGGATATGAGCGAATCTCCCGGCCCCGAGCCTGGCGCTGTCAACATGGAAATCGCTGCGGGTGGAAAGGTCACCGCGCGGAAGGATGACGGGACCAGAGTGCCCACGCCATCGCAGAATTCTCTGCCTACTCGTTCTAGTGCTCTTCCGCCCCCTCCTGCGGCACAAAGCACTCCCACGCCGGCAGCCTCATCGAGGCCGATGTCTTACGCTGCAGCCATTCAAGCGGTGCCACA